GCTTTTGGTCTCGGACAGCACACAGAATGAAATCGTAATTTACAGGAAGCGGAAACGGAAGTTCTGTTTTAGGTTGAACATGTGACCGGGAGGTCACGCGTTCGGTACGCGCAGTGGTTAATCTTGTGCACGCAAAGTGGTTGTCACAATGAAAACGTATTCTCCCTAATGTCACACGGTCGCAATGGGCGAGTATGAGTGCTTGAAGAGCTGATTACACTGTGGGACAGGCACGACTACCCGGTCAGAAGTTGCGGGACGTACGTAAGTTTGACAAATTAATAAAATACGATCGAAGCTTCAGACTGAACAACGGGCTGAAAAATGACACGTTAACCACTGCAGCACATCCAGTTTGAGATAAAAACACGAGCTCTTTCGATAGAAAATGAATAAAAACGCACATGATATGTAGTTAGCCACGAATAATTTTAGATGTATAAATACTGGAGACCACTTTGCTAATGGAGTCAAATATCCTTAATCACCATTATTGTAAGCAACACTAAACTGACTCGAGACTGTATTAAAAAAATCGAAGCAAAATGATGTAACTCAGTTTGTCAGTGCATCGATCAAATGAACAAATTGTATCACTTCACTTGTTTTGGTTATTGTCTTTCGATCACCCATTCGGTCAACAAATGAAAAAAGAATGACAGTTGATAAACATGTAGAAAATGGATGAAATACATGTTAGTGAATAACGAGCAGATGCACTGTTTGCGACATGTAGTCTTAGTCGCAAGGACCCCAACCAGGAATACTAACGCTCATCATATAGTACCCAACCATCATGAATGCATCTCACTTTTCAGAAAAGATCTATGGAATTGACCTGGCATAAACTGAATATTTGTGATTAATTTTCAGGTACTGCGATTCATTAATGGGTATTCAAGAACAAAGTTCAGTAAGCATCGATAATTGTTTCATGTTATCATCCATGCCCTCATTTTAGGCTCTAGAAAAAGAGCCCATAATTATGTGGACCGTTTCTAGAGTGCTGAGAATTCCCTCAGATTTGGGTAAACTCCATAGATGATGAAGAACATCGGATGGCAATGGATTGAATGTCTAGACTTTACCAAATGGACTACATGGGGCCTTGATAGCCCCGAGTATCAACTACAGTGTTCGATGTTCTCTGATGCATGTTACAGCTAACTGTTTTGTCTTGATATCCACGCACGAAACGACAAGGGTGAATGAATTGATAGGTCAACCTGAATGAGATCAACTATAGACAACGTGTCCTTACCCCAGTATCGAATTTCGAAAACACGCTTGAGCTTAGTAGCTCAGTATACCACAGTGGGCAACTGTAGTAATCAAAGTAAATACGGATTGGCGGTTACGGATCACGGTCGCAACTGAAGCACAAACTCGCACTACTTACCGTACACTGGAATCTCTTGTCACCAAGACTCAGACTAATGACTACATAAGTAGCGGTTCATTTATTGAGGAAAATCAATGAGATTAAATAATATGTACAAAGGAATTTTAATGGTTGGACACATCTCCACCAATGGCCTGCTTGTGTTCTTGACGTCATACAGCTTCTGTCTGAACCGCACAACTTCTGATTGGTCGGTACGGTTGGCCTGTGGTTCGTTGTCCAGAAACTGTAACATGTCGGTCCGTGGATGTTGTTATCCTGTAAACTAGGATCACCAGAACAACATTGGTGGTTCTCTCGTCTGTTGACTTCCCTTGGAATGAAGGTCTGAATACAAAATTCTTCTTTCTCATTCCCTTCAGGATTACTGTTTTAAAAACACGATATCCTTGCGAACAATCGTTTTCAACGATTCAACGACTGTTCGCCAGGAACTGTGTTCTAAATGCGTGTGAGCATATTTCGAACTTATTGTTGTTGATCCCCCAGTCCGGTTTTATCAGATCATGCTGCCCGTAAATCCGGTTTCTATAGTGTATTTTTTTAGTAAATTTACCGCTGTTTCGTTGAATTATGTATCCAATCGGTTTTCATTAGTAACCAATCAACGGCATTATCATGTTTTCTCTCTCTCTAGTCAAATACGTTTACTCATTTATTTGATAGCTATCGAGAAGTTTTTATGTAATCCAATTGTGAAAATATCCGAAACATCGATGTGGTTTAAATCCACACGTGAGCACTACTCGCGCACGTGTACAGTGTACGGTCTACTATGAGGCCAAACCTGTTGCACTGATCGTTTCACATTTGGTTGTTCACCAAATTTAGCGGGGCACAGTGGACCTATGCGGTGAATTTGAGCATTTTGCCACGTAGGGATTCGGTTTGGCATCCGGTAAGGTACTTTAATTTTAGAGAAGTAGTTCAACTACCATTCGTTTTCGTACACTTTAACAAGATTTAGATTGCATTCAATTGTGAAAAATATGCAGTCGGCCACAGGGGTACATAACACTACGTTTACTGTCACCTCCATCTCACAGCACTGATGTAGATAGGACAGACGGCCACCTTCGTCCGAAATTCTACTGACAGTTTTTCCTCGATCAGCGGTTCTTTGTCAATAGGGACTTTTCTACATGGTTTATATCGGTCTTTTCCCATGAGCCCGGGTATCCGCACTCATGAACACTTAACCAACTGTTTGCCCTGTTCGATGGATAAACCGAAGTTGAACTTGAAGTGCGGTAAAATAAATTGATTTGGCCACATTCGTACGGAATGTCACCCCGTTAATTCTTCTTGTTTATCTCTTGCGTTCTGTGTCCAAAATAAGATGATGAATACGGGGCACGAGAAAAATTGATCGTGATCGTGTCCTCCCGTTAGTTGTGTGCATCCCATACATCGATTTTCCGGTGCGTTTTCATTCTAGCCCACACGAAATCCACGCAAACTGGCACTGAAACTGAAGCATCTGACTGACCGATTGTTTGGTGGGTTTTTTCTGACAAATCCATTCCTACTGCATGGAACCAAGGAGAGGTGTATGATAAATGACGCGGCGGGTTTTAATGCTTATCCGGGTGGTTATGTTCTGATTTTGTTCTGTCTCCTGTGTTCAACTCCAGGCCACAATTATAACACTTTATTTAATGTTGAACTTCTTTTGCATTTATTGAACATACAATTTTTCAGAAAGCAACTGTTCATAAACGAGGTGTCCAATCCAAAGGTATGTGAGAAAATACAGAAATATGGAACGATCGGCGGTGATGACGGAAAGCAGACATACGACGACTCGGGCTGAGGTTATGATCACCTTAGTCTCTTGGTCGGGATTCGGGAACCTTTGTTTGGGGGGGGGGGGCAAAATACGCAGAACATGGTTATTTGCAAATTCTCAGATAAGCACCAATAGCGTTTCTCAAACCATATTTTACACACCCATTAAAACAGTTTTATCAATAAAATAACCGCTGCATTTGTAGACTTTCTGGGTCGGATGCTGTTCAGGATGGAAGCACTACAGTTTATTGTTACAATGAGGTGGTAAAAGTGAGATTTGAATCTGCACAAAAGCAAACTGATCCCCTGAATCGGTGATGGTTTTCACCCAAGCACCGATCCAAGGGGCAAAAACTGCGGTCTCAATATTACCGTTTTCCACTTACTTTTAAGATAAATTCAATAAAGGTATTCTATTTCTAGTGGGGAGTAGTGACGAATCAATTCAAGGCACTAAACTTATGTAAAAAGCAAATGTCAAAGTGTTCTTTTTTCGATGATTTGATGGACCATCGATAAAGTGAACAAATAGAACGCAGTTATCGAACACCAANGAGCAAAGAAGCTCGTTTTTGGTGATTCGTATTTATACCAATACATCACATTACATCAGTACAGTATATCACTACTTAGAAATAAAATCGTCTTGGGCAAAAAAGTGACCACCGAATCACAGATTACCAAAATCAACTTCATCATGAAACCGGAATTCGGATCCACCATGATCGTACAGCTGTTTGTTAACTCATCCGGCCACCAAGATAACTCGTGATATAGTGAATGTGTATGGGGGGGAGCAGGAGGTGGAGTGGCCAGGGAGGCTTAAGCGCCCGCATCAATTGTATTTGGACATAGTGCAAGCGTGTGTAACCCGATTCCCACTGATTCTGCTATGGCTAGTATCGGACACGGAACCTGCCTTGATAATCATCAAAGTATTTAGTATAATCTAATCATGAGTTGTGATGTTGCCTAAATGGCTGGTCAGGATATGGTATGGTTATATCATTTGGAGTTCTCCCGGAAACAGATACACAACCTGAGTGAACAAATATGTTTCCGGTGTACCAGATAGACAGCTCACTGGACATGACATATAAATTATTTCCATATTCACGCTCCTACCGAGTATCGGTAGAATTGATGAATGAGGTGTTGCATTACCGGCCTCAGACTGGTACCTATTTGCAACAGAATACGATTCCCAGCCATTATGCCGTCTTGTTTCATAAAATACAGGCTGAAGAAGAACATTTCCCAAGATAACGCAGCTATCATTCCAAAGTATATAACGGGACATTCCTTATATTTTCTATGGGAAATATTTCCTTGGTAATCCACAAGGAGTGGAGCTTTCGTATAAATCCAAAATCAAAAGACCTGAACAGTTATCATCTTGTTCAAAATAGTGTATCAGTTAGTCATGTTTCTGCAAAAAGCGAGAGTTCTTACCCTAACTGTCACACAAGCTGCTTTTATAAAATCTAAGTGACAAACCGTAAATAAAACACCATGTTCACTTCACAGAAAAATTGCTAAAAGATGTGAAGTGCCGTTTTACCCTTTCTGGTAACGTGAAAGCACATCAAAACTATTACACAGCCTTCTTGAAACTGTTTATACACATTAGGGTGCAATGAACTAAGTGTTTGACATGATGCTGACCATCAAAATGATTCACTTCAGCTGGGTATATTCTATCTAGTTCGAATGAATGGAGAGCATTTTTGAACTCCTGCCCCAGTTCGATATTCACTGGTCACCTGACCCGACCTACGTAAGTTGAAAGCGACCGAGCGACCGAGCCATGGCCAATTCCGTGGCAATTCTTTTCGCGATGGACACGCGCAAAGTTCCTGGCAATATACTGCAAGAAGCAGACGAACGTTATCACAAACGAGCCAAAGAACAATTTCGCGCGTACCTGGATGATAAATACCAAAAGATGGCCAATGTTATTTTAGAAAATTTGCCCAGCATCAACGGCCTACCATTATCCGCATTCCTAAACCGTATGCGCGGTGTGATTCCCCTTGGCAGGTATGGATCTGTACCACTAGAAAGAATACTTGATGAGGACTTAGAAACGATACTCAGTGGAAGTCAAGATTCTTCCATGGAAACTAAAGTCACGCATGAGGACAAGATTCAAGCGATACGCAACATGTGTCGTGCAGCAGCAGATCCAAAAGATCGGGAAATTTTCGCCGAATGGCTTGATACAAACGCAGCTTCATTGAATGAGGCTCTGGCGAATTGCCTTGGAACGGAACGTCGCGATTTGACGCAAGAGACCTGTTTCGCGGTTGCATACTTGGCTCGAGCATTTCGTTTTCGAATGTACGATAAATTGGATTTAGTGATTGCTGCACTAGTTCGAGCCATGGCCATGCTTCTCATACCTTGGGAATCATATGTGGAACAATATAGGGATGCAAAGGAACGTCATAATGATATCGAATTGGCCCGGGGTCGGACAATCGTATTTCACCATCCGCGAATGGAATATCAGTTTTCGGAGGTTAATCATCGTGTGCTCGGTTGCATTTACTACACTTTGGGTGACCTTTTGTTCAGCTGCCCTACACCAAAGCTGATTCATTTTTTCGAGTGTCGTATCTTTCGTCGGAAAGAGATGACACGAAATTTACTTTTCACCATCTTGCATGTAGTGGTGATCAATCTAGCCGAGTTGCAATCGGAGGCCGAGCGTCTCGCTATGTTGGTCAAACAACCCAGTTTCGTTCCCGTGCACGGGGCTGCCGGGATCGGGCCGCTTACAAGCAGGCGTGGAAAAATCTACTCGGAATCCATGTGGAACGAGTTACCGGCCAATCTCTATTCGGACATCATACGTGTCTACAATGATCGGAATCGAGCCAACAAAATTTTAATCAACGAAATTATGGCAATGCTAAGAGCTCACGCCCCGGAAAAACTGCCTATGTTTGAAGAAGCCACGCTAAAGGCACTCGAATTATACACTGGTTCAGGAGGCGGGCGACTTACAGAGACCTATCAGATTGGACGACCAACAACCGGAGACGGTTCTGGAGCTGCATCACGGCGTCGGAAATCACTTCCGACTCATGAGACTGCAACAGGAACAGCAAACAGTAAGGTGGGAACAGGACAGGGAACCTTCACAGCTGGAGGAGCAACATCTGGAACCGCACTCTCTGGAGAAGGGATCGGTCGACTTAGCAAATTGAACCAACTAACAGTACCAGACGGTCAACAAGGTGAACGTGTGTACGAGAAGCGTTCTAGTGAGACGACCAGTACCGAGTCATCCGAGGGAAATTACAGCTCTGAATCTCATAAACAGGAATCAAAGATTTCACGTCGGACGATTATCGTCCCTAAGATATCGGATCTCATGCAACCGAATCGAGTCTTCCGTAAATAACTCCACGCAGAATATCCATTCACCAATTCGTCCCACGGAAAACCCATGCTCGCGTTCAAATTACTATTCCCCTGAGAATGTACATCATTATCCACGCACTTTTAAACGAAGAGAAGTCTTATCCAAGTTCCCAGGTTGTCCAGTTCAAAGTGCCACACTAGTTTCCGTTTGCAAAAACGGCTGGAATCACATTATTCCATGCCGACATTTGCTCCATTTCCTAACTCCCGAAACTGGTCGGTCATCTTCATGTCACGTTTTCTCTGTGTAACATTTAGGTCGTTAGTTACCGATTCTGATAAGTGGATAATTCGTGCTGCCGCGAACAGTGGTTCTTTTTGTGTTTAACCAACTTATTGGATCTTCTTGATTCGAACACCATTAACTTGGTTCGATTGTGACTGGGAACTGGAGAATGGGGTAGGGTCTGGGGCTTTAAGAAATCCGACAGTTTGCAATGCGTACGAATCAGGGAAGTTGTTTACACCATTTATTAAAAAACGGTATCCTAAAATTACGCAAACACCGACGAATCAGTGATGCGGACGGCTAGCCATTCCAATTGCTGCTTGAAAGTTTGTGTATTTACATTGGAGAGTCAACTGATCGTATTTGATACGGTTTCCTTCGAAACTTACACTGACCGCAGTGTGGCGAAATGTGAGCAGGTAATGATAGATTGGGAAATTGTTAATCCTTTTAGTGTTTCTACGGTCACACCTGTTATTCGATTATCCGATTGGGCACACGCTACTAAGCAGAAGCTTGATGCATTATTCAGTCGTCATGGATATTACCAGATACATAACTTCCTAAGTCAAAAAGATAAACATATACAGGATGTAGCTTTATTGAACAATTGTGTATCATTGTGAATAGCATACAGGGAAGACAAACGACAGTAAAAGACAGGCTTTATACCGTGATTGGTCGAAGTAAGGCGCTGAAGGTTACAACGGATAGCTCCAGCAAGTAGTACATCAGACTACGTACCATTCATTCCATAGCGGAAATACCAGCCAAACTGATGATGGTGATGCTGTAAATAAAAATGCAGTGCATGTTAGAGTATCAAATCAAACCGTGCTAGGACCACGTGCAGACCGCGATCGCACACCCAATCGGATCATTCGAACTGATGAACACGGGCAAATGGCAGAGGGTTTGGAGATCGAACTAAACTAGACTTGTGCTGAACTTTCATCACACTACTTCACTTTTATGGGTTAGTTCACACATGAGACGCGAACAGCACCGTATTTTAAGTTCACTGCAACTGTCACTGTTACGATTGCCAGAGCTGGTCACGGTATTTCCATGCATTTAGGCGTGTAAGTACAGAATGTGAACATGGGTACGTCAGATTTGTAGAAGAGTGAAAACCACATGCCCTTTTGGGGAACCTAAAGTACACCAAGAGCCAAAAGATGTTGTAGTGCCTACGCGCTCAAGCCGATCAATACTGTCATCAGCACACAACATGCCGATATACCTGATACCTAGGAGTGATTCTAAAATTATTGTCAAGGCGAAGAAGAGGTTCAACGACGACATCACCTACAGCGAAATAGTGTCGCTGCAAACAACGAACTACGGCAAAAATTCGCCATGGCTCTTTCTAAATGCTGAAATGTGGAGCTAAAACCCTTCCACATACATACATATTCTTGTCACGTATCACTGAGCGGCTGGAAGTGTTGTGATTTGGTCAGTGAACCCTCAGTCGAAAAACGTCAGCTTATCCATTACAAATTAGTTCGGTAACATCTGTAAAGTGAAGATTGGTAACGCTATCGATGCAGGGGAAACCAGACTAATCGATTCATGAGAGCAGATATCTTCTGAGATAAATTTGAGTACAGAACGCAAAACCACGAGTAAGAATTATTCTGTTCCGGAATCATTTCGCGACACCTAGGCTGACTACAACTGTAGAAACCTCAAGGTTAACATATCACAAACGATGATAACTTAATGAAATGCCAAATCATTTTCTGTAATTCCAAACTTGCGCCGACCTGCTGACATCGTAGGGGGCTTTCGGCGCCTGAGCCGTATGACTTCTGCGAATTTAGCAGCAGTTTATTAGGAGTGATGTAAATGTATCGGAAGGATGCCTCTCGATCAGTTTGCAGCGGACGACTAAGAAGAATTTCAAAGGTCATGTGAGCCGGTTTGATGGACCAAAAGATCAAGTGAGTTTCGCAGTTCTGATGGGATCTGATCCCCCTCCAACATCACGGAAAACAGACTGCACAGTATGTCTATCATTCCATCACCTCATTGCTAAAAACCCTGGAGATTACGAGGCAGTAATAGGCGATCAATGTTGTCATTTCACTTTTTGAGTACACCCTCATCACTTTACTGCTAAAGTGATGCATGTCATTGGTGGCCGCACCACCCCAACCATGCATTAGAACTGGAAAGTAACTGAATGCAGCTTGGATGTAGGCACATGATCCAATCGGCTGGACACCAACCCTCCGTGGATCGCGAAATTAAAGCACCACTAGACTGCGATACAGATTGAACGATTCAGTCGAAGCCTCACAGCGGTCTTCCGAGATAACTTCCACACTGGCTTCGAAAAGGAGTAGTGAAACAGCCCGCAAACTCAATATTATTATGCGGAGGAGAACACGCACTCTACGCCATCCATTTTTGTTCGTTTCGGTTTCCATTGTGTACACTTTTTCTACGTCATCTATTCAAGACTGGTGATCAGTTACATGAAATAATACCCACTAAGTTTGTGGATACTTGTAAGTGATAACAGTTCTGTATCAGAGTTAGTGTGTCGCTTGACCGATGATCATAAAATGCCACATAGATGGATCACAGTTAATAATAACTACAACGTGATAACACTTGGCTTCAGAAGAAACACGGAGGAGCATGAAAAACTTTATTCACAAACGACAGTGATGAAATCTGTACAAAAGACAAATTTACAGGTCCCAAATAATGAGTGTCAATACACACAAACAAGCTAGCATGCACACACACACACAAGCCAAAAACAATGATGGCTGTGTGTGGGCATGTGTATCTAATTGTCAATTCCGGTGTTCCAGCCGAGTGTACTGTTTAAATTCCTGCTCCCAAATCGCGTACTGAAACACTGATAATATTCACATCTTCCAACGGTTTGTCATTCTTTGCATGAGTCTTGATATTTGATATCTTTTGAACAACTTCCATTCCCTTCACCACCCGACCGAACACCGTGTGCTTGTTATCTAACCAAGGCTGAAACAATAAAAGAAAAAAGTTGCAATCAATTTTTCTTTCTTCTGCGCACGAGCTATATGGATTGATGCCAGATTAAGCAACAAATTTCCATTTATGCAAAAACAAAGAGAGATAGAGACAAACGGCTGAAGAGTTCGACATTGGTACCAGAGAGTAAATGCTTTTGATAGTGTCGGTAAGTAATTGGGCTATACGTTTCCCATTATGCATCAGGCAGAATAATCAAGGATAAGGAACCAGACCAATGTATTTGAAAGGACTCGGACAGACTTGCCATTTAACCACAGGTGTGATTAGTACGGAAAGAGACCAGTAACCAACATAACAAAAACTAGCATTCGCATCATCATCATTAGTGTACAGAGAAAGATTGCGAATCTGTCCTACATGAAAACTGGTACCAAAGCGAGTGGGCGGGAATGTAAAAGATAAAGTAAACCAATGTGACTAGGATACAGAGTACACGTCATGATTGAAAACAATCCCAGGCTTAAGGATAGTTCGGTCCCCTATGGTCTTTCTGGTTTTGCAGTATAGTTGATATATATCAGAAAACACGATAACTACCCTGAGTTAATCAGTATCAAGCAGATCAGATAGGGTACTGTCCGATTAACAAGGAAGTCAAACCGTTCGTAGCATGTGGACCAAGGTTACTTACTATTTACTTGGTAGGAATCCGGTGTAGTTGAGGACACTTCGTATTATTAAAAAAGCGTTGCACTCAGGCAAGAGATGCAGCGGATCCTAAAGTGATTATTTTTGTTCAGATTAACGGTTTCAGTGATACCGTTCGTACCATTCCGTATAGGACGGATCAATGTAGATAAAATTTAAAAGACAGTCATGCAGAAGTCTAATGATTATTGGTTTGTGTGCGGAGGGGAACCGTTCAAGATAAGTATCACCCAAAAGTTGACCAACAAACAGCCTCACGATTCTTCAGTGATTGATATAACAAGGAAACATATGGACAGTATGATACACATCTTACCGTAGGCGCCACAGTGATGAAGAACTGAGATCCATTAGTATTGGGTCCCGCATTGGCCATACTCACCGTGTACGGTCGATCATGCCTAAGGCTAGGATGAAATTCATCCTCGAACTCGCCACCCCAAATGGACTCACCTCCGGTGCCGGTACCTTCAGTGCAACAAAAAGAACACGAAAAAACGACCACAATAATAATTTTAAAAAATTAGGAGGGTTAATGGAAAACTTTAGATTCCTTAATGATCGCAGAGGAACACATACATCGTTAAGGAAAAACATCGGACAGATTGATAGCGTAGATCATCCAGGGTTGAGGGAACAGCTAATAGGTGTAAGAAAGCACAATAGCCTCTGAATTGAGCCCCATTTACTTTCAATCGAAAATGTTGTTATGTACGATTAACTCATTCTATTGATAACTACTAAGGATTACTTCGTTAATTATAAGGGAGTTCGTTTGGTGGGCAATGACATAAAAGAGAACCGCAAATGAAGAAAGCTTGCAAAATTAACAACGAGTTTTCTTGACCTAAAACATACGGAAAAAAGATGAGGCACGGTGAAGTAACAGCTTGCGTTAGTCGGAAAAATACTGGGCAATTCTTAATGTTTTCATTTATGGAGGGACAGGGGGATGAAAAAGTATGAGCCGTATTTCCGTTCGAAAACAAATAGTTTTGTTGCAGCAAAACAACCATCAGATTGATTAGGTCTCCTGTTTAAAATTTTTTAAATCACTTCAATGACAAAATAACGATAAACAGTTTGCGTTATTAATGGGCATGAATCGGTTGATGATTGTTGGTGCTCAAATAGAGACAAGGAAAATTATAGGTCTCAGTGACTAAAAGTACCTTTCTAATGGCAACCGTTAACTCTTCGTTCAGAGGATTCACGTTTCCAAAGGTGAATCTGTAAAGTTGTCATCAATCAATCAAGTTAGGTGGAACGAAATAGATCTGGTGATTCACTAAACCCAAAAAACATTGATGAGCAGTGGATTCTTTGCACTTTTAGCCGAGTAAACGGTGTCAAATGGCAATATCTGATCACAAATCATAATCCTATTCACCCCATCTCCCCTTCACCGATTGTGAATTGTCTGTGAACGTGGCGCGAAAAGTTAGCCATTTTGTTTTGACCTATCGCCGGTGTCAAGAGGAACTTGATGGACGGCGACGAGGTGTACTTGGTCTGCCGTTGAAAACATCAAGTCTGAGTTTGTAGGAAACGAGTGAAGAATTCATCTGATAAAGCGAACAAATTGGCCGTTTGATTTGTGAAAAATCCACATGGTATTTTCTCAAAACTGGATCGTTTCAGAGTAGGACAAATAGGTTCAGGAAGAAGCCAGTGACTACGACGAAGCTGAGAAATTCAAGAGGGTCTGTGAAGGGACCTTTGAATATTGGTCACGCTTAGCAATGTAGCGTAAATGTGCAAATAGACAACGGCTGAAATTTCTATTCTGCAATGTATCCGGTTTATCGAATCGCCCGGTGCTAACTATGCACAATTCAGTAATCCATCTCTGAAGAGAACATCGTCGGACCGACCAAATGTGTTAGCTCCGAAAGTGTTCACTTTTGAGTGGGAAGTTTTGAAAATCGCACAAAGCCTGGTTAAAACGTGAAATCCAGTTGTCTGCATCCAAAAGCGTACCGAATAGTTACTGTAAGATTATCAGCTTGTATCGCGCTGGAACTAAGACATGAAAGAAACATTCTGCCGCAAATGATTATATCCGAGGGGAACCTATTGTTTGTTGGTACCTGAATTTTTGCCTACGGTTTACGGATGAATTCTTACCTGTGTTCCAGTGTGGACGTTAACCGCAGACGCGATTCAAATGCAAATTTCCGTTATGCAGGTTGAATTACATTTACCACTGAAATACATTCAGCTATCTCCCAATAGAACCAGGTTGTCTTGTGTAAAGCATCCTGGGCCATTGGGGTTTCCGATGACTAAGGGTTTATGCTTCTCTCCAGTGACAATGAATAAGAGCACCGCGGTTACTACTGTAAGCATTTGAATGTCCCTGCGTCGATCAACTTTTACAACTAAGCTGTGCTACTGTAACCCTAAAATTAAGATGAATCTCATCACAGTTAACAATATTATTCTGTTTTAAGCTTCCGTATAATGCAGGAAAACATTTCAGCTCATCCGTTGTTCCTCCAGACCGATCAAGAGTTATCGCTATATGTGGTCCACGTGCATGCTTGCGCGCAAGGTAGCAGGTATTAGTTACTTGGAGCCTACTGATCTGCTATATTCGTCTTTTCTAGCGGGATAGTCGATATCCCAATCTTGCTTCTTCGAGTGGATTTACCTCCTTTGTTGAGGCCACCTCAGGCGGGGGTCGGTCATTTAGAAATGTGTGTGCGTTGGTGCTACACTTTTAATAGCTAAGCCGTTTGTGGCCGATGATCTTGCATGAAAGCAGGTTGAACTATCAGTACTTTTGACTAACTAGTGGTCATTCACGCCGCGTATTGGGCGTGTATACAACAAGGACAGTAAGAGATAGAACGCTTGCAGGCATAATCGGACAAACTCAGCTTCTAAACATTTAATAGCCCTACTGTTAATTTCTGCAGCCCGACTATTCAACAGTCTTGTACCAATACTGTGGCGTTGCTGAAACTAGCTAGTGCTTGCGCGGAAACCAGTATGGTCCATTATAACAACAGCCCCTCATCGATCGCTTTTATAGCAACGCATCGGTTAACGGCAAATGGTTCTGATAACCCGCATACAGTACTGCAGCAACTCGGCTTTTTTCTTACATTTGAAGTAACCTGCTGGTTTGCTTTTCCGGAATCATTTGAACTTGTGTTCACAATACATTGAAAGAAAGCCAACGTTGCGAGATGTAAAAATTTCCTTAAACTTCCTCAGTCGCTACGACGTAACACAACCTGGTATTCATACGAGAAATTTTTGGTCACTGCAGTGGTGCAACGGACAGCAGTAAGGGGAAAAAGGGGGTCAGTTCCATGATCGGTTCAGCTTCGCGGAATGCTAAGAACTTGGGATTCACGTTTCAAGTCGCTACATTGAGTTGGGATATAACCCTCGATACGGAAGCTGTTTTCGTGTTAATCAATAATCTTCTATTTACCACCAACGATCAGTCAGTGATGTCTCTCATAAGGATTTCCTCGACGGAATTCGTAGACGCTTGTGAATTCAACCACTGTGGCGTGAGCTTTGTAGTTACTCTGTGTGGCAGACCTTATGCCCTAATAACACATAAAGTGCAAAAAACGTTTGTAAAAACCAACACTGTAAACATCAATGGCTATCACAAACAACTGGGCGTACACGGCATACGCGGAATTCCCTAATATCGAATGACATCGATTGTCGAATGATTCCACAAACTTTTAATGTAACGATTGGTTGGTCCTAAATGTTTGCACAGGCTTCGCAACGATCAAAGCACGAGACTCTGTAGGCTGCTTTAAGCACAGTGTTGAGTGGCATCTTCTGTCGATATCTGCAAGATATTGTACCATGATTCGTTTGACACATGGCATGGGATCAAGAGCGTGCAAAAACGTACAAGGACACAATCCGACGGTAGCGTTCACACGAGAGTAGGGTGGTTGCTCCAGAGAATACGTAGGC